CAGGAATGAGCTTAGGCCAGTATGGCTGGAGCCCTGGACTTAACGGGAAGAAGGCAGACAGGGGAGGTAAGGAATTTGAATTTCATTTATGTGCAATGGGCCACATGCACTGAGAGCCTAAATCCCCACCCCCCACAGAGCTGAGTTCTCTGGGTCCTAATGCAGGTGCCACCAGAGCTGCCTAGTTTGAGGGAAGTGATTTGGCTCTGCAAGTCTCTGCTTCCTCGTCTGTAAAAGTCACGATGGGGGCATGGCCCAGTGTGACCCACATCCTTTATGGCTCTCGTGTCTTGGCTTCCTCCCAGCCAGCCACACCAAGTGCCATGTGCTCCTGGACCTTGGTGCATAGCCATTAATGACAGTGAGTGGGGGGATGTCCTAGGCAGAGGGAGATACCTGTCAGAGAGCTAAGGAGTGGCTCAGAGTGTGTTAGGGATTTTTTTTTTAAAGTGCCTCTGTTTTCTTTTTTTCTATAGTGAACTTGCAGTTCTTGTTCACTCATTTACCCAGTATTTATTGGGTTCTTGCTGTGTGTTAGACACAGTCTCTGCTCTCAGTAAAGTGTGAGAAGAAACAGTCATTCAGCAAAGTAGAAACACGGAACAAGTCAGCAGTGATAAGGGCTGTGGAGGGAAGCGAAGCTGGTGATCCAGGAGGGTGGCTGTGATTGACACGGGGTTGTCGGAGGGAACTTGAAGGAAGCCAGGGAGTAAGCCGTGTCAGGGGAAAGAATAGTGCAGGGGTGGGTGGGGGAGGGGACAGCAAGTGCAAAGGCCCTGGGGTGGGGCCTCACCTGCCTTGCCCCAGAAACAGGTCTTGGTGTTGAAAGAAACAGCCAGGAGGCCAGCGCGGCTGCAGCAGTTCCAGTGCGGAGGAGACCTGCAGGAGTTTGGGAGTTTTCTCCAAGCCAAAATCTCCATTTCTGGCAGAGATGGGACCAACTCTACTTTAGTTTTTAAAAGAATCATGCTGGCTGTTGTGAGGAGAATAATGAGGGGCCAACAAGGAAGCCCAAGGAAAACCTGTTAACCCATTAGGAAGCTGATGTGGTAATCCCACAGAAAAGACAATAACAATAAAACAGCTACAACAGTGGCTGCCATTTCTTGCTGCTGGTCTTGCCAGGCTCTGTGCTAAACACTTTACACACATTCTCCATCAGATCCTCTCAACAGTCCTGGTCTAGGAATTACAACTATCCCCATTTTATAGATGAGAAAACTGAGGCTCAGAGAGGGCAAGTCATTTGCTGGAGGTCACACAGCTGGTCATCTGGGAGCTGAGGTTTAAGCCCAGGCCTATCGGGCTGTGGACCCAGCCCTCTTAACTAGCCTGGGGGTGAAGGGGTCAGGAAGGGGCTGCAGGGGCCACACTGAGCAGGAGGCTTCTTTCCCACTGACCTGAAGCCTCCCCAGCACTGGGCTGGGAAGGGGAGAAGTGGGGTTCAGGCCCTGGACAACCGGAGAGAGACTCTGAGACAAATCTGCTTCCTGGGCCCCTTCAGCAATGGTGGGAGACCAGAAACCTAAGGCTTTGAGTGAGACACTTGAGACGTTCCCACAGCAGATGGGCCAACAGACAGGGAAGCCAGAAGGACAGCCTCAGGCAAAGGCGTCCCTTTCTTTGCCATTCTTGTGTCAGAAGCTGAGTCCCAGGCCCAAGGGAGTGAAGGCAGTAGGGGGTGAGGGGCCAGGGCACCCTCAGTGTGTGGGCTGGGCCATCTCCTCCCCAACCAGGCCGGAAGGGCTTGGTCCAGCCTTGACCATCAGAGCCCACCCCTCCAGCCCTGGCTTTCTCTCTCACGCTGTGTTTTCTCCCTTTACAGTACCATTCATTGGGCATCAGCTTGGTTACGGGAGTTTATCTGTGTCTATCTGTTGAGCGCTGCTCTCCCACGAAAGCCCAGCCCTGTCCTCTCTCCCAGCGTCCAGATGGCCACCTCGTTTGCCAAGGCCTGGGCCACCTGACGGAGCCTGCTTCGGCCGTGTGGGTTAAGTTGGCCAGGGTGGCCTGGGCAGTGCCAGGTGACAGCAGGGGCCCTGGCTCCCTCCCCACTTCTGGACAAGGATCTGAGTCAATGTTGTCCCAGGTCCCAGAGTCCTAAGACTAGAAGGGAGGGAATGTTGTCCAGGCAGGAGTGAGGTGGCCTTGAGTGGACAGAATGGGAAGACAGGGTCCAAGACAAAAAACCTAGAGAGATTGATGGAGAGTGAAAGACAGAGACTGAGACACAGCAGGACAGAAAGAGCCAAACTTAAGGCAGAAATGGGCAGAAGGACAGAAGGACAGAGGCAGGGCAAAAGGAGGTAGGCAGTGAGCAGGAGATGGGGACAGAGGGGCAGCTGGGTGTTCTGGAAGCCAGTCCGGCTCAGCCACCGCCCTCCTGGCTCACATCCACATGGATCAAGAGGCCTTCTCCACCTCTTTTCACCACAAGTTTTGGGTTCCCTGAGGCCTTGTCCCAACTCAATGTTTCCTTCTCACAAATGTGGGGAAACCAAGGCCCAGAGGGAAAACAGTGATTACCCAAACCTGTCCATCCCATTTATCCAGGCCTGTGCTGTGTGTCCTCAGGCCAGCTGCTCACCCTCTCTGAGCCTTGGTTTCTCTAAAGGATCTGAAGATGCCCAGGCTTTTCGGGCTTGGCTGCCAGGAAGGAAGCAAGGAGACAACGGGAGCCCAGCCAGCCAGTGGGGATTGTGAGTTCCCTTCCTCCCTCTCCTCTCTCCCGGGGCTTGGAAGGACTTCAGGCCTCCTACAGGGCTGACCTTGGCTGGGTTCTCCCTCCCCACCGGTGCCCATCTTAATCTCTTTAGTCCCCGTGCCGGCTGATGAGGCTCTGGCACCCACCTGGCAGGAGCAGCTGTCTGGATGTCCCAACGGCGTGGAGATGCGGCCGGACAGAGGTTGGTGGGGGCCAAGTCTTCTGGCCTGGGGAGGAGGGGTCTGGAGTCCACCCAGCTGGCTCAGGTTTCCTGGGCCCCTTCAGCGATGGTGGGAGACCAGAAACCTAAGAAGAAACCAACTCCAACCCGACCTGCTGGTCAGCAGCGGAGGAGGCCTTTCTTCCCTTCTATCCCTTGATCTCTGACCCAGCAGCCTGAAATTAGGGGAAAGGCCATGAGCCACCTCAGACTAGAGCCCCCACCTCAGTGCCCAGTGATCCCTGCCGGGGACTGGCCCCTGGTACCTGCAGCTGTGCCCTCACAGGCCTGAGCTGCCCAGCTCCGCCCGCTTACCTGCGGGTCCTGTTCCCGAGCGGCTCTGCTGGGGAGGCGCCGGAGGCAGCCGGGTTAGTATTAACCTGTCCCTGTCCCCGCCCCACGGTTGCGGGTGAAAGGCGGGGAGGATGGGTGGGGCTCCGGGCTTATCCAAGAGCCTACTACGTGTCTGGAATCTGCCCAGCAGATGGTCCTGATGATTCCGCTTAACAATAAAGGGCTCATATTAATATCAAGCGCTTTGACTCAGAAGACGAATAACCTGTCCAGGCATTTAATCGGGCCCCACCTTAGGGCTACTGGAATTCCTTTCACACAGGAATGGAGATTCCTGGAACAGAAACTCTTGGTTCAAATACTGGAGCTTAAGTAAGTCGCTTGGAAAGCGGCGATGGTAATAGAGCCCTCCTCACGGGGTGGAAATCGGAACAGCCAGTGCGTACAGAGTGGGCTCTGTGCCAGGCCCTGAGCTTCACATATGTGAATGCATTTAATCTTCTCCACGTTAGTGGGCGGGGGCCTGCATCCTCTAAGGGGGGAAAAAAAACCCAAAGTGTGGGCTCTTGGCTTTCTACTGTGAAAAGAATTCATGGCAGAGACAAAGGATAATGTGAAAAGCTGTTTTATTACTTGGCGGGGTACCGCAGGCCAAGGTGACCTGATGCAGGAACTCCCGTTCTTGGGGGTCCTTGCTGGGTCCTTTTGTCTGTCTTCTACGGGGTTTCTTGTCTTCTTTCTGTTGGCTGCTCTTTTTCCGCTCGCACCCCAGTTTTTCTGCTCTGTGGAATAAACGCTCTGCAAAAATAGGTTGAGGCAACTGGGACCCTCAAACAGTGTGGTCAAGCCAGATTGAGCAGGTGAGACCCTTAAACAATGTGGGCATATCGTTTAGATCCAGTCAGGGCTTCCCGTTCCTTTGAGTGGCTTCTTCCACAATTCAAATATCCCCTCAGATCAGTTAATTTTAAACCTTTAAAGATTTCCCTCAACCACAGCCTTTTTGGGAGATACAATTACTGTCCCCATTTTACAGATGTGGACATGGAGGCCCAGAGAAGTCTAGATTCTTGCAGAGCTGGTCTCGGATACCACTAACAAATACTACTCTGACAAATGTGAGGTTCGCAGACATCTGAAAGATTCCTGCTCCCAGGCTCCTCAAGTATTCCTTTAAAGATAACTAAGAACGTTCCTTTCCTAGTACATACCTGCTTTAGCTGAACTGCCTACCCTAGATGATGATCAGCTATACAGTGTCCGGAAGCCTGACCACCAGCACCGGTCACTGCCCACTACCACAGTCATGTAGCCCTAGCTGTTCACGACCCCCTCCCTTCCCTGTTAGCTCAATAACAACCAATCAGAAACTCGTAGCACCAGCCGATCACGCAACCTGCGCCCCCTTGTGCCCGATGTCATGTCAGCACAAGCAGTAAAATGTCACCCTTCCTCATAAAAGACCTTAGCAACCGACAAACTCTCTGTGGCCCATAGCAGTGTACCTGACAGACGCCTTTCTTAGTTCCACCCTTTGTCTTTGGTAAGTTCTTTTACCACTCGCTTGTCGGTCCGCCAAATCCCACAACAGCAAATTGTAGTAATTCACATCTGATTAAATCTTTCAGTCATCCTTAGCGGTAGGCAGATGCTAATTTTATTCACTACCTTGTAGATGGGGAAACTGACCTCAAAGAGGTTAAGTGACTCAATCAAGGTTCTGTAGCAGGTAAGCGCAGGGTCAGGATTCCAATCTGGACTCAAACTGGTACACATATGGTGTGAAATGTACAATCTTTCATGGAGCCTGGTACATAGGGATTGCTCACTGCATGTTGACTTTTCTAAATAATTCTGGCTTGCTTTGTGCGTTATTCTCAGAGATATTCATTTACTCGATAAGCAGTCACTCCTCAGGCAAATGCTTAGGGTGGGAGGTGAGCAGACCCTCTTTAGGAGGAGACCAGGCCCCTCTCTCAGCTGGCAGAGGCTCAGGAAGTGTGGGGATTCGAACCCTTTGGGGCGCAGGGACATAAGAATTTGCTCTCTCAAGGAGTCTGAAATGCTCACCCTCCACCAGGACTCCAGCAGTGAGGCTGCTCCCAGACCAAGTCCCTCCTTCTGTGTTCACACAATATTTGTAACTGTGTTATGGTAACCTAAAATGGCTTCTTTCACCCTAAAGCACACTGTAGCCTGATTTTAAACTGCATATGCTATTTTTTTTTTCTTTCCTCCTTAGAGTACTTCCCCTCCCCACTGAGAACCTTTTGTTCCGGGCACCAAGATATCTGAATGCCCGCTCATTAACTCTAGGAGCTGAAGACTCCGTTACTGGATTCCAAAGACATCAGTCCAGTGATTTTCAAGGCCATTTAGAGAAAAGAAAAGCAGCCCCCTGAACGTACCAGGACCCTTATCAGAAGCCTTGGTCTCCGGACTTTTCCTGTGTAACTCCCTGACTACCCCACCCAGGGGAGCTCACAATCTCTAAGGCATTAGCTTGCTGTGATTCCCTTTGCCGGGCAAAGTGATAAAGCTGTTTCTTTTCTGCCCTCCCCAAACTCTGTCTACATTTCTATTTTGGCTGCAGGCACAGAGGCTAATCTTCGGAGACACTTCAGTGATGCTCCTTCTGACTCCCAGGAAGTTCTTAGGTGTGACCCACGCCCATCTCACAGGTGCTGCTTATGTAATTTTTATTTTAAATTTAAAGTCGTATCTTGGGTGGGGGTTATATCCCAGTGGTAGAATGCATGCATAACATGCACAAGGTCCTGGGTTCAATCCCCAATACCTCTACTAAAATTTTTTTAAACATAGCTTTATTATCAACCTTCAAAGATTATCCCCATTGCTCACCAAATTAAGAGCAATGCCTGGGGATCTGTCTTTCTCCCATGCGTGAAATACTTGTTGAGTCAGTTCCTGGCCGTGAGCTACACGTACTTCAGAGAGATCACCCAGCTGCTCTTCAAAGACGCTGCCCCAGGACCAAGAGTCCCCCACAAAGCACTGCCCAGGGCGCTCTCAAACAGGTAGACTCTTCTGGCAGGTCACGAAGTCAATCATATCCCAGTAGGAGAGTTTCCAGGGTGGAGATCGGCTGATTGGTGGCGGGTCCCTCAGCACCCAGAGGTTCATTATCAGTGCGGGGTGGACAGTGCTTTCTGAATGGGTTGCTGGGTAAACGGATTAGGGACAGAAGGCACCACTGCTGTTACTCAGAGGAGCCACCAGGGGGCGCAGGAGGCTCCCAGTTCCGGAGATGGACATTTTAAGGGCATCTAGCGTCTTAGGACCTTTCTCACTGGTGGTTGCGTGGGGCTTAAATGCCAGGTTGAGAAAAAGGTAGCGGGCGGGGGTGGGGGGGTGGATGGGGTGGGAGGAGAGAGCGGAAGAGGGGAAGGGAAATGCGGAAAAAGAGGATTAGAGAAAGGGTCTTCCGAAGGTGACTCCAGACCAGTTAGGGACAATTCTGCAGCATGAGGCAGCCCGCTTCCTTCCATCAAAGAGAATACCATCTTACATCCATTAATTCAACTCAAGAGCCTAGAACCAAGTGGAGAAAAAAGTCACAGAATAAATATGTACAGTATGATCATTCCATTTGTGTACAAAAATCATCCCCACAAATAAGTGCTACGTATTTTTTAGGGTCTGTGTATATATATTTATCATGTACACACCCACAGGAAAAACTCAGAAAGGATGAATTTCAAATTGACAGCAGTGGTTAGTTTTGGGCTTGTGTGTTTATGGAGGGGATCAGGGAATGGGAAAGCGGATGGGAAATGATCAAAGAGGACTTTACCTTAAATGAAATATTTTACTTTTCTAGGAGTCTATAACCCTGTTAGTTGTGTAACCTAAAACTAAAAATTACTTAAAAAGAAGAAAAATGAAGGAAAAAAAAGAAACATCAAATTCCATCTTAGTCAATAGAAGTTTTACATGCATCTCAAGGAAGGTGACAGCTTCCTCTACTCTGGCCCTCCTTTCCTCTCCTTGGCTCTGTCCTTAGCTGGAATGGAAACAGCTGCCAGGTGAGTGTGTGGCAAATGGGTCCCTGCAGACAGACTTCTGCTGGGTGCCCTGAGGCAGGATTCCAGGAGTGAGGATGGTGGATGTTCCAGCCCAGGTGGGGTAGAGATTTCCCATCCACTTGGTAGGGATGGTTTTGGCTAAGTTGGGTATTTGGAATGTGTGCAAGTTGAGGCAGCATGATGCTTCCTAGGAATGTGGGAGTACCGAGGACGGACTCCCAGCATACTATGGGAGGTTGTGAGGGATGCCCTGAATGTCCATTCAGCTCTGAAAAAAAAAACAGCTGGGAGACCAGAAGGTGCGGCCATTGAGATGGAGATCAGCCCTCAATCCTGGGGGCGGGGGGGCTCTGTATCTTCCTCTGTAAAATGAATGAGGAGTGGAGCCTGGTCTCTGAGACTTCCCAGTCAGGAACATTCCAGGGTTCATACTCTTCCTTACGGCCCGCAACCTGAGCAGTTGCAGTTCCAACCATTAGCCACCAGAGGGCGCCTTCTGACAGGCTTGAAAAAGAAAAACAAGAAGCCTGGTCTGAAGAGGAACCTCAGGCTGGGATGGGAGTCTCTTCGCGTGACTACTGATTGAAATCAACTCTGTCCCATGCACTGGGGATACAGCAAGGAACACGGTCTCTGACATGGGGCTGCTATCTCCCCTCCGATTCCTTTTTTATCTCTTACACCCCACATCTGATCTCTTAGCAGATCCCGCGGGATCCAGAGTCTGGCCACTCAGTACCCTCCCAAGGCCACCACCCATCCAGCTTCCTTCCTGCCCTGCCTGGACTACTGCGGTCGTCTCTTCCCTGGCCATCCCACTCCTGCCCCTTCTCGCCTTCACAGCACAAGTTGGGGCCTGTCCTGCCTCTACTCAGAGCCCTCCCAGCCCCGCTGTGTGGTCCTGCCCACGCCACACCCTCCTTTCACACTGAGCACGTCTTCCTCCCTCCGCACCACCTCCCTCCACTCCAGCCACACTGGCCTCCCTGCTGTTCCCACCTGCTGCCTCAGGGCCTTTGCTCTTGCTGTTCTTTCTACATGGAGCTCTTTCCCCAGGCAGCCCTACGGTCCCTCCCTCACTTTATTCAGGTCTTTCTTTGCTCAATTTCACCCTTCAGGAGTGACCCCCATATTAAAACAGGCTCGTTGCTGTCTCTTTTCATCCCTCCACGTGCCATTCCCGTTTTCACTCGCTGTGCCCTCGATGCCAAATTACCTGTTCACTTATGTATTTTATTTGGTGTCTGTCTCTGCAAGAGTCAGCTCGACAAGGGTGAGGATCGTGTCTGATTTGTTCCTGGCTGAAGCCCTGGTACCTGGGTTATGCCCAGCACACAGAGGAGTATAGGAAATATTTGTTGACTGATGAATGAGAGGTGGGGGTGCCTCAAGCAGGGACAATGGGGCATGAGGGTGAAAGAGAAGTTGAGGTTCCTGTGTGAGCGGCAGGTAGAGGGGGCGCCTCTCCTGCAGCTAGGAGACTGTTGTGCCGGGGAAGAGGGCAGATGTACCGGGGTGGCGGTGGGATGGTCAGCAGCAAAGCCCACGGAGCCACTCGGGGCAACAGATGCCAGTGCTGAGCAGAGAATTACGGTGTCCTGGGGGAAGAGGTGGCAGACAGGGAGGCGATGCAAGGGCCTACGAGCTTCCCAGATACACAGCTGGTTCCCCCAACCCAAAAAGTTCTTCCTGCCTCGCCCGGGCTTCCTTCATGCTCACTGCATGTGTGCAATTTTGGCCACACCCAGGGTCTGCCATAGTGATATTCCTGTGTGTGTGTGTGTGTGTGTGTGTGTGTGTGTGTGTCTTAAATCAACTGGCATTGAAGGAACTAGAATAATTTAATTAATTTATTTGTAAATTTTATTAATTTTTTTAGCAGAAGTACTGAGGATTGAACCCAGGACCTCCTGCATGCTAAGCATGTGCTCTACCACTGAACTGTACCTACCCCTTGAGCTAGAATAACTTCAGACACGTAGAAAAATACAGAGTGACATGATGAACCACATAACCAACACCCAGATTTAACGTTAGCATTTTTCATGTTTGCTTCATCTATTTCTTTTTGAAATATTTTAATGTGAATTATAGATATGATCATTTTTAAACCCCTGATACTTTAGTTTGCATCTCAAAAAAGTAAGGTTCTTTCCCTGTGTAACACAGGACCACTACTTCACTCCATAATGTTAATATTTCTCTGATATCTAACATTTAGTCCACAACTGACATCCCCAATTGGCCCCCAAATGTGTCTTACGGTTGATGATGGATTTATTGTAATACACAAACTTGACATACAAAATGAAAAGCAAATATCTTTTGCCATTAAAAAAAAAAAAAGGAACCCCTGGAAGTAGACACAGACACAATGTCTCAGCCCCATGCGGTGCCCAGGCTACCTCTCTACTTGTCGTGAAGGAGATTAGTGGGCGTTGGGCGTTAGAAGCGGACAAGGAGCGGAGAAGACTTTGTCACTAATGTAAGGAAAGTCGAAAAGGGCTCAGAAAGGGAATCACTTTTTCCATGTCGGGGTTGGTGTTACTTAATGCAGGACTGGTCTGCAGGGGTGGGGAGATGTGGGCGGGCCAGGCAAGTGGCCCCTTCCCAAGGCTTCAGATGATTCTGGGGAAGGACCCGGGATTCCTGGAAGACCATGACGCAGCAGGAAGAGCCCCAGACAGGGAGCTGGGGAGGGGTGGGTCTGTCCCTGCTCTAATTTGTGCCTCTGTGTTTCTGTTCTGTCTGTAAAGTTGGGGAAGGAGTGATGCCAGGGCCTCCCCTGACCCCTCGCCGGCACTCCCCTCCCCCACACCTGCCAGGGCTCCTGAGGACCGGAGTGACCTCCATGACCCCGCTTCCCATTTCTTCCAGCCCAGACCTTTTTCTGGTCCCCTCCTGTGCTCTGGCTGGCTCCCTCCGGCTCACTCTCTGGGCCTCAGCCCAGATGGCACTTCCTTCTAGAAGCCTGCTTGACCCCTGCAGTGAATTAGGGGTGCCTGTCTGGGCCCCGCAGCTGTCCTGTCCTGGTCACTCACAGCTGTAAGCCCTGCGGCTTGGGAGGCAGAGGGCTTCTGTCTTGTCTACCACTGTATCCCCAGCCCCTGCCTCAGGGCCCGGCACATAGTAGGACCTCAGTCAATTTGTTAAATAGATGAATGATTATTATTGCATTTCCTTCTCCAATGTGTCTGCCTCCTCAGGGGTCTCAGAAGGGGCATCTGGTCCTTCCTTCATTCACTTACTCACAAACATCTCTTGAGTCCCTACTATGTGCCAGGCAGGATTCTAGGCAAGGGAGATACAGACAAAGCCCCTGCCCTGGTGGAACTTACAGTTGGTGGTGGAGGCAAACAAAAACAAGAAGACAAACAAATACTTATAAACCAAATACACATAAAAACAAATAAAATAATCTCATGTTATTCGTGGTGTGAAGGACAAACGGGCTGTGAAAGAGTGTTAGGAGGGCCTTGCTGTGGAGCTGACATTTACTGAGCTGAGGCTTGGCTGAGAAGGAGCCAGCCAATGAGGGGAATGAGAGGAAGGGCATTCCTGGCAGTGGGAACAGCATGTGCAAAGGCTCTAAAGTGAGAACCACTGGGCGTGCTGAGGGGCAGAAAGAAGGCACTGGGGACTGGGATGCAGGGATGAGGTCTCAGAGGAGGCAGGGACGGGGCCAAGGCAGGATAGGAGGGCTGTCCTGACCTACCAAAGGCCAATGGAAGGGTTTGAGGGCAGAGAGGATGGGACCTGATTGATGGATTCTTCCCCCACCCCCAGTTTTGTTGAGATATAATTGACATAGAACATTGTGTGGGTTTGAGGTGTTCAGTGTCATGACCTGATAAATGGATGTGTTGCAAGATGTTTATCACAATAAGGTGAGTTAACACATCCTTCATCTCACATAATTACCGTTTGGTTGCTGTTGTTATGGTGAGAACATTAAAGCTCTACTCTTCACAGCAACTTTTGAGTATGCGATACAGTACTGTCAGCTGTAGTCACCAGGCTGCACATTATGTGCCCAGAGCTTATTCATCCTACAACTGGGAGTTTGTGCCCTTTGACCAACATCTCCCCATTTCCCCCACCCCTCAGCCCCTGACAACCACCATTCTATCCTCTGTTCCTATGAGTTTAATGTTTTCAGATTCCACACATAAGTGAGATCACACAGTATTTGTCTTTCTCTGTCTGACTTCTACTCAGCATAATACCCCAAGGCCCATCTATATCGTCACAAATGGCAGGCATTCCTTCTTTTTGAAGGCTGAATAATACTATTTCATTTATATATATATATATATGTGTGTATGTATATATGCATATTTCACATTTTCTTTATCCATTCATCTGTGATGAACACTTATGCTGTTTCCGTGTCTTGGCTGTTGTGACTAATGCTACAAAGAGCATAGGGGTACAGATATCTCTTTGAGATAGTGATTTCATTTCCTTTGGATGCATATCCAGGAATGGAATTTCTGGATCACAGGGTAGTTCTATTTTTAATTTTTTGAGGAACTTTCATACTGATTTTCATGGCGGTTGTACCAATTTACATTCCCGCCAACAGTGCACAAGGGTTCCCCTTGCGCCACATCTCTGCCAGCACAGCACGTACTCTCTCCTGTCTTTTTGATGACAGTCATTTTAACAGCTGTGAGGGGACACCTCATCGTGGTTTTGACTTACCTTTCCCTGATGATTAGTGATGCTGGACACTTTTGCATGTACCTGTTGGCCATCTGTCTGTCTTCTTTGGAGAAATTTCTATTGAAGGATTTTTTTTTCTGTTGAGTTCTTTGCATATTTGAGATATCAATCCCTTATCAGATATATGATTTGCAAATATCTTCTCTCATCCTTTAGGTTTGCCTTTTCATTTTGTTAATTGTTTCTATTGTGGTGCAGAAACGTTTTAGTTTGAAGTAAGTCCCACTTGTTGATTTTTGCTTTTGTTGCTTGTGCTTTTGGTGTCATATCTAAAAAATTATTGCCAAGACTAATGTCAAGGTTTTTTTTTTTAACCTATTTTTTCTTGTAGGAGTTTTACAGCTTCAGGCCTTAGGTTTAAGTCTTTAATCCATTTCCAGGTAATATTTTGAGTGGTATAAGATAGGGGTCCAACTTCATCCTTTTGCATGAGGATACCCAGTTTGCCCAGTACCATTTATTGAAGAGACTATCTTTCCCCATTGAGCATTTTCGGTTCCTTTGTCAAATGTTAGTTGACCAGAGTTGCATGAATTTATTTCTGGGCCCTCAATTG